TTTTAAGCGGATTTCCTTTTGATTCAAGCAAAAATCCGATTGAATCAAGAGTATTTTTTCTTGTCAATGTTTTCAAGAGTCTGGACTCTAGATCCAATGTGTTTTTTTTTCCAGTGCACATCATATTATAAGTAATAGAGACTGATGATCTGTTTATGCATCAGTGCGGTGTTATAGATTGCAGAGCGACAACTAAAGTGTAAATCACTTCGCCGTGGGAAAGTTTTCCAATTGATCGATTAATCGATTAATCAAATTTTTGGGTGATTGAGAGTGCAATAATTCATAATTGATTCGAATTAAAATAAATCATATTGAAATGGTATATTCAAAACAGCAACCTGTACCCTGGGATGCTCCCCAGGTTTCCCAGGTGTTGGTAAATTAGCGTTTGTGCTGAATTTGAGAATCAAAAATAATGTGAAACATTTTCGATGAGAATTAAACAAATTTCGGTACAATTTTTACCATATTTTCTCCTGAAATCCTGTTTTCCTATACAATATCAGCACTTTTGGTCTCTGAGTGGGGAAATTTAGAGGTATGGTGCTGATTATTAGAAATTTGATTTGGGGAGTTTTTGAATTTCAATTAATCGGTGGTACTTAAATTATAATTTAAACAGTGATCCGAACTTTTAAGAATTGATTGATTCATCGCTAATCCAGCCCCACCCTCTTCCTCTCAGGGTGCTTATGTAGAGAGAGAGTATCGTCATTCCAATCCCTAACTACGAGAAAGCACTGTTAATAGATTGCGGCGCCTTGATGCAACTATTCGTGTCCCACGGATGTGCTTGTTGCATGTTAGAAACGTGAAGGCGCTTTTCCTTTCAAGAGACTACACTGACTTAATGGAGATGTTGCATGTGTGAGGAATTTGCGATTTGACTGTTCATTCTTACGTAAAAATTCGCGAGAAACACGATGGTGCCACAGGTTTTCTCTGAAATCAACTCCCAAGCTCAAAAAAAGCTCTCGAGTTGGGGCAAAAATGGAGGGGATATCCCACGCTATCCTAAGAGTCCACCTCTACATCAAGAAGAACTCTCAATGCAAAGATAGGGAGCAAATACATTGACAGGGCTGCCACTTTATTTGGGGATTCTAAAACTGAAAGCACGGCAGCCCTGTCAATGTATTTGCTCCCTATCTTTGCATGGAGATTTTGTTTTGGTGTAGAGGTGGACTCTCAGGATAGCAAGGGATATCCCCTCCATTTTGGCATTAATTTGAGAGCTTTTTTTGAGCTTGGGAGTTAAATACAGAGAAAACCAGTGGCACCATCGTGTTTCTCGCAAACTTTTACATAAGAATCAAAAGTCAAATCGCAAATTCCTCACGCATGCAACATCTCCATTGTACAAGTAAATTCTAATACAATTTTACTTGTTTGAGTCAATTTTGCAACCTTGGAATGAAGTTATGTTCCTTCGTCCGGGAGACGTCGAATTTCTCTAGTTTTATACGTCTTTTTCAACTATTGAAAACCGACTCCAGTGGGAAAAGGGCGTAATTTCCGAGCCACCTCTCTCAGTGCAGGTTGCTCCCTAATGATAAAAACCTTGAAAAAGAGCACGAACTATAATGTTTCCCTGACACATTTTAGTGAGATTCCTAGAAAATTGAAGATAAGCCAAATAGTTAAAACGCATGATTTGAAATAGTTTCGAGGCAAATTATTTTAATCAAAACGTCAAACCCATTCTAGACAAGAAATAAAGGCGACTTAACGATTCAGTCCCCCAGAGCCAGAAGGTACCCAACTCCATTTTAGTATTTTCGAGATATCAGGGGAAAACCGCGCGTCGGCCCCATTGATTCCAATGTAAATCTCAATTTTTGAAACTCAGCATCTTATAACCGGCGTGAGATGGGGCCACCAAATTTCCCACACACGCGGAACCGTTAATAATTGAGATTTCGAAAACGCCACTAACTCAATTTTTCCAAAAATGAGGGTTAGGCACCATTTGGTTCTAAAGTACTGAATTTGTTCTTCACACTTTCGTAATTTTTCCTGACATTTCCAGGTTTTGACAATTTAAAATTTCCTGACACTTCCCGGTTTTCCCAGCAGACCCCGAACGCGGCAAACCTGACTGTAAGTCTCCGTCAAACACAATCGCGGACAGTGCTCCCATTTCCCGGAACTAGTTCCGAATTTCGGAACTTTTGAGATTTTCATTTTCCTGAATTTTTCCGGAACTAATCAAAGTCCCGAAATGTCCCGGATCTTTTGCATTTTCCGGAACTTTCTCGGAACTTTTGAAACATCTAAAAAGAATCCCGGAACTTTTGACGGCCAGAGACTGGGAGAATTTGGACCAAAGAAGTTCCGAGTCCCGGAACTTTTGACGGACATGGAATGATGGCAATGATAGCGGATATTAGTTACAAGAGAAGTGAACATTTACCAAGAGTGGAGTGTAGGTATGAAGCCGAGTCGAAGCGCGGATGGAAACGAGAGCACGCGGCGGAAAACTCGGACGGGAAACTCAAATCTCTCCGGTGGGCTGTGTGCTCGCGCCCGAGTCGGAACGAGGGAAGAGAGGCGACCGATATGGAGTGAAGACGAACGTCTTCTTCGCATGCACGAAACTAACAAACTAAGACCGTTACTGACGAAACAATCATAATTAAACGTAATATCTTCCCGCTCATTTCCTGCCCGATGCTTCGCTCCCCCCGTGCCCCCCTCCCCCGAGCGCAATTTCTACGCGGAGACCCATAGCTACAACCTTGATGCGTCACTCTTACAATTGGACGTATTTCTGCCAAACGTAACTATGTGCATTATGACGTGAGCCCTGCTATGCATACGTTCTGATGGGTCTCAGGGCTCATGTCTAAATGCACATAGTTTCGTTCGGCAGAAATACGTCCAATTAGCCGAATTCGCTCAACTCATATTGCACGCTCACCTAGGATGAATGATGAACCCAAGACATCGCGAAAATTATCTTGGTGCGCTTTAGCTCCAATGCCGCCGGAAAATC